CTCTTTCCCCCTCCCCCCTCTCTCACTCTCTCCCTCTGTCACTTATTTTATGTTGGTGTACAGAGAAATTTCTCTGTTAAATTCAACAAGTTTCCATACTATTGTATCAGTGTATTTTTCAAGTGCACATGTCAAGTTTATGATATTTGGGAAAATATTTATGTATTTGAAAATAATTTATAAAGCTTCAAGAGAGGACTATGATAAAAAAAGACATTGTTTATTTGAAGGAAGCAATTAACAAAACTCAACTGGTCATATAAAAGGGATATTAGCTAATAAAATGTTTGTCTTTCACATGTGGAGATGTGTGTGTTTTGTCATCTTTCATATTCTTACTGTCATTTGGGATTAACTTAAATGCATTATGATTTTTGAAGGAATTAATCCTCAAATAAGTATTTTTGGAAAAATATCCAAAGAACAATTTAAGTATTTTTGGAAAAATACCGAAAGAACAAATTGCTTCCTAATTGGAACTCACATGCAAATCTAGAATTGTTCTGTTGAAGTTATTAACAATCAAGAGATAAAACTTTAAGTCCACATGTCATATTTTCAGTAAGAAAGGAAATTGAAATTAATATATCTAATATTACTTAGAGATTGTGGTCCTGATAATCCTGAATGATCTGTAATTAATATATACATTTATTTTCATTGTGTTTAAAATCATATATGAAAAAATAAATCGTTGTTGACAGTAGCCAGAAGGTTTTTGACTGTTTAAAATCATAATTTTCTGTTTTGTTCTTTTTTTTATTCCTCCTTTTTCTTCTTCTTTTTTTACTTTCTTTTGAAGGTACGGCAAGTTTCTAGATTCCTGGTTAGCCCGGTGGTTGAAACAAAAAGTTCTGTTCCACCTCCAGTTGCCACTATGGACAGCATTGAACATGTATCAAGCAGATGTGATTCGACTACCCAAACATTAAATGGCAGCATTGTGGATTCAGCAAAGAAACTCATTGAATGTGAACAATATTCTTCTTGTGAGAGTGTTGATACCATTCCTCATGATTCACCTGTTCGCTCTGCAGATTTAACTGAAAAATCACAATTGGTAGATACCAGAATTATTGAATCAATTGAAGTTGAAAAGGATAATGTTCTTCCAGAAATAGCGACACCTTCATTTGTGGCAAACGATGCTGTTCCTCAAATCAATTATACTGATTCATCTGCTTCTGAGGGTTTTAGTGTAAACAGTATGTGTGTGAATCAAACAACTTCTGATTCATCTCAGATGACTTCATCAAATACCATTAATAGTTCTGTACCAAATTCTGAAATGTTCCCTCTTACAAGTTCATGCCCGAATATGATGAGGGATAATAGTGTCTTAACAACCACATGTATTACGTACAAACCAACAATTGAAATGGCAGGAATTATGTCTAGCACTGTAGTAGATATAATGCAACCTTCACAACACAGCAGTTTTAATGATTCAACAGATTCTGCCACATCTACTACAGCTGCTGCTACTATGGCAACTACACCTAATAAGCCTATAAGTAGTGTAACTTCACAATTTCTTGATTCTGGCTTTTCATCTGATAGTTTCCTGTCTCATTCAAATATAGACTCATCTTTGCCAAGCATGAAGGATGATGTACATGTTTATTATTCTCCTGCTATTCAAATTGATAATTATAGTTCATCTGAACACGATCAATCTGCACCAATAAGCAGAGTCAATGTTCAGGAGAGAATAACAGTTTCGACTTCTACAGATTTAGATCTTGAAAAGGAATTACCAGTTGTTCAGTCTGGAATGGAAAAATTATCACAGGATGTCTCGGGTGCTGCTATATCCATTGAAAGGGAGGGTCATAAGAACATGAACTTGGTTTCTCACATGCAACATGAAATTCAAGAAATGAAAATTACTGCTGATGTTGGTGAAGTATCTAATGTCATACACAATACTGCAAATGTTCAAAAGTTAACTTCATCAATGCCAACTGACTCTAGTGGTTCAGAGTCAACTGTTCCTTATTTAGACCTGCGTCAGTCTGAAAATAGTGCTGCACCCTCTGGAACAGTAATGTCTACTACAAAGTCTACTGGTTTTGATTCCAATTCAGTTCAATGTGGTGTTAATCCAACTTCTACAGAAAGTAATTTACAGTATTCAAGGTACCATAATTACCAACCAAGTGGTCTACCAGTTTCTACTAGTTTCAGTTCACCATATGAAGACAGAAGTTCTGTATTATCCCTACCTGGCGTTACATCCTCTGCTTCGATGGATTCTAGAAAGATTAATGAAAATCTTTCAAATTATGTTCTCCATTCAGTTGATAATTCTCGAGATCCAATAACTGGTCATGATAATTCAGTAACAACTAAGGCAGATATTAGGGATGGTAGTAAAATTAATGTTGCTGTACAACAAGACAAGATTTCAAGGAATATGGCCAATTCATCAACTTTGAATACCCCTCCTGATGTTCCACTTCTTTCTCCTATGCCAAGTTCTACAGGTCAGCCTGATCCACCTAGAATGCACATAAATGTTGAACATTCAAATGGAGATAATTTAGCTCTTAAATATAATACAGTTGAAAGTGACAACAGTATGGCTAGCTTTACATCAGATGCGATGAGTCACTCTGTATCCACATTGCCTTGTGCTAAACAAACTAACACAAGCAATGACGTCTATCAGGAAAATATAAGTGATTCCTCTGGAACAGTTAGTGGAGTACTGAACACTGAAAGTACATCAAGAACTGCTCAGAATTTTCTAGCAAGACAACCTTGTGTGAGTACACTCTCAACTGGTGATAATGAAATAAGCATTAACATTCACACTGGACCAGTTAGTCCACCAGTGCCTGTTGATAATGTTAATTTACAACTAGAACCACTAAAGGCAGTTAATATTCAAATGTGCCCTAGTCCTTTGAAAGTGTCCATGCCTGATGTAACATACTGTTTGAACAATTCTCTACCATCTCACATGATCAATCAGCTTCCTAGGTCAGTTTTTACTGATCGCTCAGGTAGTGAATGCTGGATTGGCTTGACTGAAGAAGGCGCTAAGAGAGACTTGTTCTCAAGAGAACAATTGCTTCCTGAACACTCAGTACATGAACGGGGTGATGAAAAACTTCCTGATAGTTTAAGTTTTGTGTGTGATTCATCAGTAGGAGGCAGCCAACCACTTTCAATTTTGACCAATATTTCTCAAGGAGTAAATGATTTTGCCAACAACAAACTAATGAATCAGATGTGTTTGGTCCAAGGAAATAATGTACATCTAGCAGCAGTGCTTGCACAAGGACATAATGTAGACACATTGGTTAGTAAATTGAATGTAAGTGACTTGCAAGGGAAAATATCTCAACAAATCACCTCAGAGACTGTTGATAATACTTCAGTTGATTCTTCTGCACATCCTAGACTGTCTCAACAGAACTCATTGGATAAAGGGCTACAAGATGCCAGGTAATGTTGGTGCATTAAAATACATACAGTGCTGTTGCACTTAGAACTGTAACGGGGTCTTCAAAATTCCATGCTCTTTCTTCTTGTTCCAGTGGACCGCAAACTATAGCTGATCTGCAACAGAAATTAGTGCAGTTAACTTCACAACCAACTGAACTTACAATTGGAACTCCTCCATCCCATCCTGCGACACCTCATCTTCAGCATAGTTATGACACTTACATGCAAACATTACAGCAAAAGTTGGCTTTTATTTCCATGCAGGGAGGACAGAATCTCGTGAGTTTCTTCATTCTTCTAAAGTAGAAAAATTCCTTTCTGTATTTGTAGATAATTTTAAATTTGCCCCAAGTTTGTTAATTAGTCATCTTTAGAATTTTGTAAGGATGGATTTAGTTTGAGATTAATGACATTTTTACTTAGACAAGATCCAGTGTTGAAACAATGCCAGTTGCTATGCAGAAAATTAATTTCTTTAGTTGTTTTTTTGTTTGTGTTATTACAGAAAATTCAGTGGGGGTTCAAAACAAAGAATTGTAATGTAGTTTCAGAATTTTTTGTGGTTTTATTAATAATTCCTTAATAAAAAATGTTAGAGATCGAAAATGTGAGACAAATCTTTTCTTATCAGCTGCTTTCACCATATTTATGTCAGACTTCATCCTAATTTATTGATCATATAATCATTTTATCTGTAAAATCATATGCAAGAATAATCATTGTGTAACAATATACTTTATGCAGGATATGTTTCTTTTCACTTCATATTTAGTTTCCTTCATTATGGTTAGAACATTGAGTAATTACTCAATACAATACATGACCAAGCTGCACGCTTCATGTGTGAATCTTCTGAAATGTTTGAATAAAAATACTATTTTCTTTCTTTCCCTTTATATTAAATTCTTCCTTTAGTTTATATTCCATGACTGTATTTGTTATTCATTTTGTTGTTCAGGATTTCATCTATTATAAAAATGCATATTTGTAATTTTCCTCTTTTCAGTCCATGCATGACACAGCTATACAAACATTAATGTGAAATATTCAGTTACTTCAGATGATTTTCTGGATTTCTCCTGTGCTATTACTAGGACTCAATTTGATGACTCTCCTTATAAACTACTCTTTTATTTTTGTAGGCAGATAAAATATCTGTCTGACTGTGCTAATAATTACATAACATCTCTAGTTGATTATGGAAAGTGTATCTCAGAAAAAACTCCTATTTTCATTGTTTTCTACACAACCAAAACTTTTCTTCTCATTTCCGTTCTACTCTCATTACTTGCCAACTTTATTTTCATTAAATTTCTGCACCTCAGTCAAGCTGTGAACTTTACATACATTATCGCTTATGTCTAAATTCATCTCTCTCATTGCACTCATTGTTTCAATAGATCCTGTCTCTGGACTGCTATTCTATTGTATTCTATGTTCTTCATGTGTTGAGTTGCTCAATTCTGAGTTCAATGTAGTTTATATTATAATCTACAATACATTGTATGTACAATTTATGTAGAGTTCCCTTTGGATGTATCGAAGGCTAAATTCTTGAAATATTTCTTTCCATTGTCTAGGTGACCATGTCTCTTTATCTTTCTGATGTTTGAAACACGATTGTGTTTGTTATGTCAGTGTTTAAGTAAAAATTAATTAATTTTTTTAATTATGCACATTTCAAACACGCACCTATATGTGTGGGTGTTCATGTTCGGGCATATATACATATGTGTGCATGATAATGCACATGACATGGAACTGAATTGCGAAAAACTCACCTGTGGAGCCTCTCCATTTGAATCGGTCCAATACTGTTCATTTTGATTCCTTGGTAGGCATAACACTGACTCCTAAACTTTACAAACTTAACAAATATGCTGAGTATCTTTAATGCCACGCTGCTTTCAAAACAAAGAATTGTAAATACAACAATAGATGCATTGAAAGGACACATTTCTAAAGTCTGTCCTCACCCTGCAATGTGGAGATCATGAAACAAACTATTCTAATCATGTTAAGATTGTAAGACCTGTGATGATTTTCTAACTGAAACAACAGTGCACAAGTTAGGCTGCATCCAAACTCCCCAAGTAGTTCATACAAATTTTTAGAAGGCTTGACCTTGCTAAACAAAGAGGACTCTCGACTCACATCTCATCTACTCTAGTGATATCTCTCATAACACGCTATGGTTCAAACGAGTAAGATTCACTTGGTGTCAAACTAAAGTAAATTATATTTTTCATATACACACCACCTCTCCTTTCGCTCAAAGTCCCTATGACATTTTCAGTCTGCCCCTCTGTTTTCCTCCTTTCACTCTTCCATGTTCAGATAAGTTTTAAATTTAACGTGTTAATTTGTCAAATTGTTCATGTTATATTACTTTGTATTCACTTACAATTTCTTAGATTATCAGTATGTTGGTTGTGTCTACAAGGAAAATAATCTGTAATGTAAATTGTCAGTTCTGTTGATATTTTGTTTAGAATGTGAGAATAATATGAATTTTAAACTGATTTATCATTACATGAGTAAATCAGCTGCATGTTGCTGCCATTATTGAAGTCCTTGTGCCATGCTGGAAACGGGATATGACTTAATAATTCAAGTCAGCCCAGTACAAGGTGATGGGTTAAAATACAACAACTCCCACCATTGTCTCTGCTGCCCTATGAGACCCCTTGACAATCTTCAGTTTTGTGTGACATAATTTCTTAAAACCTTAATAAAAATGTATTTTGAGTTTATGAATAATAGTATGGTTGAATGTGTTTTTTTGTTGCTCTATTGCAGTTACGTTTTGCCAATTCAATTCAAATCAAAAAATCATCTGTATAAAGAAATATTTTCCACCAACTACTTCTTTACTTTATAAAATGGATTATTTTGGGTAAATACTTAGCAGTTCTGTTACTATTTCACCCAAATCCTTTCTGTGTTTTGCGACTGTTGTGGTTAGCATGTTTCCAACTCTTGTATGTAGGTAACTTTATTCTGCTGCTTAATATGTCCAATTGAAAATTAGTATCAGTATTTGCAAATCTGAAATTATTCATATTCTTGTTATGTTTCTGATTGTGTCAAAGATAAGAAAGAGTGGAAAATGTATTCTTAATTTCTTTGTGAGAATCGGAAGTTGAGTTGAGGAAGTTGTAATTTATCGTTTGAAAGAGTGCTTGAAAGGAATTCTATTTTCCTTCACTTGTTCAATTGTCTGTTTCAGGGTCCATTGTCTCCTCAAAGTACATTGCATGCTGTGATGACTGGTAGTTCAATACCATCTGTATCTACTGATGTACCGGTGACCTGTGCTCCTCGAGTAGAGCAAGCAGAGTCTATTCAAGCAACTTCAGCAATGCCTAATGTGTCAACAGGACCTCAACATGTAAGTTTCAAAGAGAAGTGAAAATGTGAAAAAATGTGGCAAATTTTGTATGTAGCGAAGCAAAGAAAACAATGATATTACTTCTATGTTGACATGGAAATATTGTATCAAAATATCAGGGAACGTTCGTGTACTTGAAAACCATTTTTATATTATCATATTCTTGAAGGAAAGAAAATTAATACAGTAAGAAAGCAATGTTTTCAGATTCATTATTTGTAATTATCAGTCTGGTATTCATTCGAGTTAGATTTCTTATTTTCATGATTATCCCATTTATCTTATTTTCATGGTTAACCTGGGAGAGAAATGGCAGCAACTATTTAAATCCCTGATTTTATGAAATTGATCATTGAAGTCACTAATTTTGTGAATATTGCAAAAGTTCAAAGGTTTTTCATGGTCTTTCTACAACTGCAATATTGAAGAGATATTTTTTCCTTAATGAAATCTGTTCCTTAAAGACAGATCTTGAAATAAGGTCATGCACTTTCTTTTTTGAATAGTTTTCGTAAAATTTTGCATGAAATAGACAATTTTTAAATTGAGGCATTCAGTGAGAGGGAGGGAGCGAACCCAAAAAATTCAAAATAAAAATTTATGAATGTATTCGATTATACATTGAATATGTCAATAAATCGCTGTTTTGAACTCTGTGGATTAGCTCCCTCTCTCACTGGATGCCACAATTATTTTTTCAAAAACCGACCAAAATTTTTTGTTAAATTCTCTCATTGTATGTATCAAATGACAGTAAAAAAATAATGCTAGTCTCATTTCCTGTGCATTCTCTGTACTTTCGATAATAGCTATAAAAAAAAATTTAATTTTAAAGCTACAAAATTAAAGACAGATTTTTGTGTTAATGCAATGTAAAAAAAAAAGAGAGAGAGTTGAAAAATGCTGGGTCGTCTTATATTCACAGATTAAGTCTAGTCGGTTACGATTTAAGTTTTTACATTGCCATTTCATGTCACGAAACTCGCAAATGTTGCCGTAACAAGAAACTGCAAAGACAATAAAGATAAAAATATCGCGCATAACAATACGCAATATATTCGCGTTCGTATTGTCGGCATCTACCCCGCATTTGTCAGGCAATTCAGATGGTTGAAGAGTATCTCTTAAAGAATGGCATTGTATCAAATGAATGCTGTGAATTTGTTACACTATGAGGGTTGGTGAAGGTCGTGCGGAATCTCAGTTCAACGCCCGGCGAATACGAATCTGCGTTTTGAACAGAAACAGAGGCCAATCAACAAGTGCAGGACCGAAGGGCGACATCTAGCGACCAAAGGGCGTGTTCTTAGATTGCATCTGACGAAAGACTATGAACAATGCAAAAATAGTGTGCAAAACTTTCAAGAGGGCCTAAAAAGTCAGAAAATGTTACAACATAGAAGGAGGACCAAAATGAAAGAAACATTGCTACATGTGAAGAGGGTAGTGACAAAAACCATGATGATGATGATGATGATGATGATGATGATGGTGATGGTGATATTAAGGAACAAGAACATAGTTCAGCAATAAGTCTTAACTTTCTCAACAACAAGCCAATTTTCTAGTCAATAAAATATATTATAATTTATTTATTTTGAGTAAATAGTAATAGTTAGTTAAAAATTTTAAAACTTCTCAGGAGGCCTCTTCAAAATTAGGGGGTCATTTTATATGCAGTTACAAGAACAAATGAGGCGGGGGTTGGAAAAGAAACGTACTTGCAACATTTTTGTGATTTTATTGTTAACATTCAACTAAATAATAATGTTAAAAGTCAAGCAAAAATGTATCATGTGATTCAATTTGAAAAAATATTTTAAAAACTAAATGAATTTTTATTCAATTTGTAATTAAGTGACTTTTGTTTAACTCAAGATGTGTACAGCATGTGTGTGTGAGTATGTATGTATGTTTATACATGTGGGTAGTACATACTAAAAGCTTTTACAAAGGATGGTTTTGAAAATGCCGAATTATGCATAATTTTTTTAATGGCTCCATTTCTTTTATTTTGTAAAACAATGGACAGGTATAGAACATGATGACAGAGACACGGAGCAATTTTTGCCATAGTACATTATTTAGAATACATAATAAAAAAATATAGTATTATGAAAATAAAGTAAGAAATGGGAAAAGAGAAAAGAGGAAAAGAAAGAATCTTTTACGAGAAAAATCATTTATGTTCACCACTTCATGGATTTTAGGTTGTCATTGCAGCCACTGCTGGCCATGTTGACAGTAGTGGCACCAATAGTAGTGGTGTCATGTCTCCGAGTCAGTCTCTGACCCGTGAAGAACTTCTTCGTCAAAGCCGACCTCGCCCAGCTGCAATTGATCTTCATGATCTTCAGCAGGTTAGTGGTTGCCCAAGTGTTCTGTCATTTGAAAGCATTATCCATTTTTACAAAATTATTTTGAATGATAGACCAAATTTGCCTAGATGTGTTTACCTGGAATGAAGCCAAATTATCTTTCTGACAAAAATAAATTGACCAACTTACCAATTTTATCCATCATCAGAGACTTGAACAACTTTGAAATCACACTAAAGATTCATAGGCCTGTAGTTTAATATATTGGAATTATCATCAGTCTTAAATATTGGCAAAAAAAAAGATGATTTTCACTCCTTGGGAAATGCACCTTGTGATAGCGATTTATCAATTAAGACTTTACAAATTTGGGAGAAAACAGTTTTTTTAATAAAATCAATGGAATATCATGAGGACCCACACTACTCTTAAGAGTTTAGAGGTTCAATTTTGGACACAATATCTAATAATCCAATGTCTATAATACTCAATGAAATAGTTGTTTTGACTTTTTTTTTAGGAAAAAAAGACATGTGAGATCAGTATGCTTCCTATATTAAGATGAAAAATAATTCTCAAATCCATCAACAACAGATTTAGTATAACAATTGGATGATTCAAAGTGCATCACATCTAATAAACCTTAAGTCTTCTATTTAGAATTAACATATTTCCAAACATTTTTCTGGTCTATAGGTGTAAATTTTGTTAAATTAGTATTAAAGTTGGCAAAATTTTGCACTTGCTCTCAAATTAGAAAAGAACAAATAATTAATGAAGCTTTACATAATTTATTGTGTATGTGAACTTTCTTTTTGGAAACAATAACATTTTTCAATTCTGTACTGTACCAAGAAGGAAAATTAGATTTAACAATTTTCTTGTTGGATATAATTTAATACAAAAAATAAAGTAATACAATAATATAACATGCATTAAACAAAAACACAATCTCTTCTAGAGTCAGAAAATGTTTTTTTTTATATTACACATAAAGCTGGAATCAAGGTTTCTTTCAAAGCACACAATTCACTCACAAAAATTGCCACCCCCCCCCTCAATAATAACAATAATAATAATAATAATAATAATAATAATAATATCATCACACACACACACATCCTAGAAAAAGCAGCATCTGTACTTTGCATTGCCATAACTGTAAAGTGAAATTAAATTCTTGCATACAAATTCACAGAAATGACTGCCTGTAGTTTTAAAAATTGATTAATCGCCTCCTTTCTTTGATTTCATGTTATATTATATTCATATTGTAATCTTAAATTTTGTTGGTTTCCCTAGATTAAATTCAAAACCGTATATTTGCTAAGTTTCCATTTATCCTTTTATTTTGTTACATTGCTTAAAAATTTTGAATCTGTTTTGTGCCAGATATTATGATGATGATGATGATGATGATGATGATGATGATGATGGCAGAGCAATTGAAAGCTGCTAATGTAATAAAGAAAAAATCTCATGTAAAACACCTTTTGTAATTGGAAAGCCATCTGTACATCAATAAACCAGTATTGGTTTTCACATACTACTTAATAACAGTATAACAAAATTAATAATAAAAATTAAAATAAATAAATGAACAAAGATCTATAATCTCACAGTGACAATAATTATTATTATTATTATTATTATTATTATTATTATTATTATTATTATTATTATTATTACTACTACTACTAAACTATATATCCTCACTTAAAAGTACAACACCATGGGTGAAAGAAAGAAACAAAGACATGCGACACGCCAACATAACTGACACCTCAGACAAAAGCACCTTCCGCAACAAAGTGAACAAATGGGAAGTCAAACCAGAACAACCAAAATCAAAACCCTACAGACCAAAATGATCTGAAGAAAGAAAACTGGCAGTCTCCAACAGAATGAAAGAATATTGGAAAATTAAGAACAACACCACAAAAACTAATTAGAACTCCACAAAAACGAGTCAATTTTTGCTCGACGTTTTTCATTAGTGGGAAAATACGCTAATAATAATAATAATAATAATAATAATAATAATAATAATAATAATAATAACAATAATAATAACAATAATAACAACAATAACAACAACAACAAACAACAACAAACAAACAACAAACAACAACATTATTATAGTTGACAATGTTCAGTAGTAGACACAGCATGCCCGAACAGCCCCAAGATGAGGGTTTTGGTCAGGGTTTCTACTTCTTCATCCTACTGCAGAAGCACCTGTAATGAGATTGCATATATTATTCATCAAGGAATTCCTGAACACTGTAGAAAAGTGCTGAGGAAAATGTTTGAGTTTATTTTTGAAGCTGAATCCTTATAGTGTCTCAGATGCTTCAGTAATTTGTTGAAGAATTGTATTCCTGTAGAGAATCTATCTTTTTTTTTGTATTACGTGCTTGTGCCCAGTGTTTGGTGAAGGTTATATGCTTGTCTTGTGTTATAGGGGTACGAGCTTGAGTTGAATTTGTGAGGTACATCATTGTGGGTTAGGTTCTTCTTTACAAAGAGACGCATTGTTTTGCTCCAGATTATTATTCAGTATTTGAAGATTTAGTGAACATTAACAAAATACACTGATCAGTCTGTTTCAATAGTGCTATTCCTTATTACTAGGGCATTATAGAGTTGGATCAATTTTCAGTTAAAATCTTCCAGATGTTAGTTCCATTTGAAATTGGATTGAGTACACTAATGAGCAGGGAAACGGACATGCAAGGTCAGGCAATTAATTAATGATGAAACTTGGCCAGTGGAAAGTAAAGGGGTATGTTGTGAGAGTAAGGAAAAGTCAAGAATTAGTGAAACCTGTGCTCATCAAGGTGGGGCTCATCAAGGTGGGGCTCATCATTGTATGTTGATTCTAAGAAATGTTCTCTGTGCTTGTATGATGCAGTTGCCTTTTGTCAAATTTAAGTTAATATTGCTGTGTTGAGTAGGAACTGTGGAAGGGCATTGTGATTGTTTTGTCTGTGTTCATGATTAATTTCTTTAGTTGGATCCATTGAGTTAGTCAGTGGCTGGTTTGGCCAGTCTTGTAGGGTTTTGGTTGTTTTTCCTTTGAATATTATATTAGTGTCATCAGTGAATAGTACTGTTTTATTTCTTTCGATTATTGATAGGAGATCTTTCATAATTATAAGAAATAGAATTGGGTCTAGTGTGGTTCAATTATAAGAAATAGAATTAGGACCGTGTGGTCACCATGATTTGACCATCATCATGGTCACCATGGTGGTGGCCATGATTTGATCCACTTTGGGAGAATTCTGAAAAATTTTATTTTTGACAACAGAAGTCTGTGATTTAATGTGTCAAGGGCATTTGACAGATCAAGGAAGAGACCGATATGTATTTCTTTTTGATTTAATGCCATTGATTTCATTTACAAAGGTAAAGAAGGCAGTTTAAGTTCATTGATTTTTACTGAATACATGTTGTGAGTCAGTGGTAATATTAGTGTTTCAGGAAACTTTCTAATCTTGCGTAGTACTATTTTTCTAATATTTTTGAAAATATTGATAGGAGTGATATTGGTCTTTAGTTCATGACATCTTGTTTTTGATGCCTTTTTTTATACATAGTTTAATTACTGCTGCTTTGAAAGTGTTTGTGTAACAATCGTGTGTTACTGATTGTGTAATTTGCAAAGGGTTTGATCATGTATGTAGCAATATTGTTTTATGATGAAGTTTGAGATGTCATTCTCAGCAGATTGTTTGTTTTCCATTTTGTTTATGATTTGAGTTATTTCATTTTTTATTGTTTCAGTGATAGGTATTATGTGAGGGGATACTTTTAAAGAGATGATTGTTGAGGTGTAATGTTACAGTTTTTGTTACAGTCTGCCAGCTTTTCTGGAGAAATGCTTGTTGAATATACTGAAAACTGTGTTAAGACTTGTGATTCTTTTGTATTTGTAGACTTGTTCAGTTTTTCTGTTGTTCCATTGGTTACCGATAGTATTTTTAATTATAGTTCGTATAACTTTTTATTTTATTTGTGGAGTTTGTTATGCACTTTTCATTAGACATTTATTTACCTTTTATTTTTACTTTCTTAAGTATGTCTGAGTATTGTCTGTAGTAATTTTACTATCTGGTTAGCTTCTATAATTTAAAAAAATTCTCGAATAAGTTCCTTGCTTTCTCTGATAATGGGTCTGGAAATCAACTGACCTGCAACTGGACATCATGTTACAATGTTTCTAATGCCTGCCTCATTTTAGCTGTTGTAGGAAGTTGAGAGGTTTCCACAGCATCGTCATAACTTCTTCTCCACACACTCTACTGCCACTTGTGTCTGTAGAAGTAACAATTTTAAATACTTGTGGATATCTGTGTATCTGTGCAGAAATTGCGATGTTCTCATCCACAGCTGTCCCAAAATTCGTTTTCTAACGTATTGAGTGGACAGGATTTCTTCATGCGAGTATCAAATATTATCTTCATGACCTTTTGTAAGTCGTATCTCATACGGTGCTTGGAAATATGATTCAAATAAATGATAACTTGTAACAAATTCTGATTACAATAAACATCATTTACTTAATGTAATATCAATTCAGGCTAGATATCAAAAGAATAACAAGATTATCCGAATGATAACAGTAACTGTGATTACTAGGGGTGCATTTTGGTAATCTAAAACATTGCCAAAAATGATCAATAAAATGTTCTTCAAACGTTTTTGAAATGCTCTAAAGGCAAAGAAAATTATGTACAAAATGTGATCAAAACCAATTCAGATGAATAACTCAAGCTTGATACGTTACTTATGTAATTCTATTACATCAGCGACTATTCATTCATGTGCACTCAGCATGCACACTTTCGGTTTGAACTGTTCTTTAAAGAATTTTCCAGGAAACCTTTTGTCTTTATTTACACTGAAATTGGCCAAACTGACAATGGTGCTGATAGGCAAATCTTAGATTACACACAATGGCTGACATTACAAATTTCTAAGCAAAGAAATTGAATAGACTGCTCAGGAATTGTGTGGAAAACATTTTTTGCATCTTGTAAATAGTATTTGAAACAAATATCATTAAAATTATATTAAAATCAATGATATGGGCGAAAAATGCATTAAAAATGATGGCAAAATGTAAAAAATGACTTTAATCAAATCAACAAAAACGACAAGCAGTGTGCACTGTACTCTATTCCCTGGAGCACCTGTTATGAGAGCAGTTGAGAAATTTGATGTTTGTCTCTAATATTGCTTACAATTTCATCATTTATGCATATGGTGTAAACCAATTATTTTTTTTTTATAATTTTTAATAATAATAATATTAATCCAAAATTAGGTGTGTAAATCTGGACATTACATCTATTGCTCTATACAATCAAGATGAGAATTAACTACGTCAGCTGTTTTGTATTTGTTATGCCCAATCTGAATTAACAATGAAATTTATCACAATAAAAAATTAAATAAACTGGATTCTTATTACATTTCATTATGTTATTTAATTTAAATGGATGTATGTCAGAAATAATTTTAACTTTCTATTATGTTATTTCTGCAGGAATTGGCAAAAATTCATGTGGGCCATCGTAGAGATTTACAAAGCCATCTGAGTGTTTCTCAAACACCCACAAGTTCTCAACAAATACCTACTCCTCATCAAGTGAGTAACTATTAGTAAAATGAGCTGATATCTGGTATTGACTTTGTATTTATTTGTCATAGCCTTCTATTAGATAGGAAAAGCAATAATTCCGCCTGTGGTGTAAAATTTAAGTATTTTTATTTAAGTATTTTTATTATCAATGCAGAGTTGATTAAATTTTTTAAATAAGATATATTCTGGATATCTGAATATGTGTACATATAAGACATATTCATATCTTTGTGATTTTTTAATTATCTAAATTTATCATAAAATAGACTTCAGGAGAGGTCTTTGTTTTATGTTTCACTCCTTTTTCTGATTACATTCATGTGTATTTCTTACTGATGAACTTATTTTTTGTCACTTTAAAATATTTTGTAATTGAACTTAAAACTGGATAAAATGAATTATATCTCAAAATGTTCTTGAAAATAATATTAGATCTAATTATAATTACTACAACATGAAAGTTATTTTTATTGCATTTATGTTTGTGGAGATACACAATCAATACACATTCAGAATATTCCATAGATTCCAGGGAAATAGTTCAGAGTGTCAATCAGTTATTTGGAGTAGATGGTAAGGAACAGAAGTAAATTTATGTACAATCCATTCTTCTGTATCTTTCTTATATTTATCTCTATCTTTCCATCCAATCTTTAGTTTGTGAACCACCTTAACATTTAACTGGTTGGTAAAATAGTAGCCTCTTTCCTCCAAAGATTGCCAAACTTCATACTGTAATGTACCTCATTTGCAATTCAGAGAAAAAGAAGTGCCAAATTATGAGAAGCAAAGGACCTGCTATCTTATATCAGACATTGTCTGCTCTTCCGAACTGGTCCATAATCACTGATATTCATGCAAAGTAAGAGAAAATGACATTTTACTGTTATAAATCTCTTTCAGTCTCCCTTTTTATGTAAACATCTTTCTAATAATTAATTTTACCACTTCTTAAAAGAATTGACTTCGAGCGTTGCCGGTATAACAGTCCAAATGTTAACAAAAAAAAGAGCTGAATTGGTTAGTGATACTTCAATTGGAAAAAATTGTAATGAGATAATAAAATAAGCATTGCTTTGTGAAATCAGTTTTTACCAAGTTTCAGATGCTTCCTGGTGTGATCATTCTGTGGTAATTCTTAATATTTATTGAAAATTTGGTTTCCATTAATTTTGATAGTAATATTGGCAATAAAATATGTTTCAATTATATTACTAAGTAAACTAATATTCATTGAATATATAATTATGCATGATATTGCAGATTTATTATTGAGTAAACAGTGGTCATGTATTCTATAATTTATAAATTTATATTTGCTTTAGTACTGTATTATCTCCACAAAATTTGTCATAATTGGGCAAATGTGTACTTGATCCATCATGATCCAATTAACTTAAACCTATTGTTGAGTTCTTGGCTGTCTGGGTGGTGCTGTGTTGTTGGCTGAAAGGCCGACGTTTCGCCTGTCATGTCGCACGCCTTCTCAGGGTAGTGACCCTGAGGAAGCCTGCGAAACGTCACGCTCTCAGCCAATGACGTGGCATCACCCGGACAGCCACGAACTTGTGAACTCGAGCCATGAAAGATTACGTGTACACTTGTCTATTGTTGTTTTTGATACAATTGTAAATTTTGGAATTTTACCTGAAAATTGTGTGTTTGCAATTTTTAGGTTTCTCAACAAGCATCTTTGCTGACCACTGTTCAGAATTTACCTGTATCACAACTTGCCACACCATTGCCTGTTGTTACTGCCCCTTCATTCCCATCTCCAGCACCCCAGTCTTCCTTACTTCCCATGTTAAGCACTGTTTCAAATATCAGTGTAAATACCACACCTGATGAATCTTCCACTATGGATCCAAGAACTATGAACAAAGAAGATAATAGCCGAGAATCTGACAAGAACTCTTCTGTACAAAACAAATCTGTGGATCACAAGATTTCTAGGTTCCATGTTAGTGTTGTCAAAGAACCTACTGCAGTGCCTGGTATGTGTTCTGGGCTTATTGTTTATAAAGTATTGTGTTTTTTAAGTTTCCGAACTGTTAAGAAGAATAAGAAAATTGTAGATTAAGTAAAGAGATCTTTATATTTAATTTATATCCGTTGTAGACTCTTATCAAATACCTTGTTGAAGGTTAAAAATTTCATTGATTGTGCATTATTTAAATAGTTTTGTTGATGAGCGTCATGTTTCTTCAAAAGTGTCGTAACTTGTAATGAGTACCAATATTGCCTTTACTAAGTCACTACTCTTTGTGTAAGGATTTTTTTTATTTGACAAATAGATAAATAATATTTCAAAATTACTTTACTAATGGAAAATTTAAAAAATATTTTGTAGATAAATTTGTCATGTTTCTCTTTTTTTTTATATATCTCCATTATTTATTATATATATCTTCATTTCAAAACCCTGGAAATGTGTTGTTGAAACAGTAACTATAGCAGTAAATATATATCATTTGTGATTATTTGTTAATTTGAGCTTTATTTTTACAGCATCTGTGGATGCAGCCAATCCTAAAGCAATTAAAAGGGGACGTTTCAGTGTGGTAACTCATGCTGAAGAGTCTCCTCTGAGTGTCAATACTGATGGTAATTTTTTCTTATTTGTTGTAATTGTCTGTGTAAATATTGTGACTATTTCAACATTTTTCCAAAAGTTTGTGAAGATTATACAATAAATTCTTATTAGTTATTATAGCATTTTTATGTATATTTATTAAACATAAAATGAACAATAATTTATTTTTTATTTTTTCAGGTGACACAGTAGAATTGTCCAGCAATTTAAAGCAAGAAGGGGCAAGAATTGATAATATATCGAATGTTCCCAACTCAGCAATGCAGTCCAGGATTCAGGTAAATTTTAAGAAGTTTCTGCAGAGTATGTGTTAGAGTGATCATTGCTTGTTGTTTAATCATATTTTTTGTTTTCACATGCTTCTTGGTATGTCAAATCAATAGGTTGTTATATGCATATTTTCGGTTTAAACAAATGAAATGGTGACAAATTAATTTAATGCTGGATATCTTAATTTAGACTATTGAAGATTTTTTTAAATTTATTTGCAAGTTATTACTTTAATTATTATGTCCTTCACAGGCATTATGAGTGTGAGAGAGCGTGTGTGTGGAGGGGGTGCATGCATGGGAAAAAATTATGGTGACAAAGTTGATAAAATAATAATATATATTTACCTGGATAATTCTTTCTATTTTCTCTGAATTCTAAATATTTTAATATTAAATTATCTAAAACTTTGCCAGTCCGAGTTGAGCAATCCAACTCTTCATAAAAATTTTAATATAATGATGCAGTGCTGTGATGTTTAAGATGACCATAATAACAATCACTTTTGCATTCAAAAATTGTTTCTTTCTTTTTTACTGAAGGTATGGGTTTTTACAATTTTATTGTAATTTCTTTCTTTTCTACACATTTCTTCCTTCTCCTCGTACTTTTTTTTTTTTTTTCCACTGGCATTTGTCGTTCTCTTCTGTTGCTATACTTATTATTGTTATCACATTTATTATTATAATTTATTATGTATACATTTGTGGTTATGGTCATTTTAAATGCATGTTAAAGTTAAGTAAATTATTATCGCAGTTCAGAATGCCCTTCTTATTTATTCATTCGAAAATGGCCTTAGTAGCTGGACTTCATTCTTTTACTTGAAAAAGAACTGTCTGCTATTGATTTGACATTCAATTTCTTAAGGAAATTAACAAAATTATATATCATTTCAAGATTTTGCACCTTATAAAATGCATTTGATAGTAACTTGTAGGTTAATAGAAGTTTATTTATTTGAGTTATGTATACTATGTTTTGTTTTATTTGTTAGTGTTTGTCTGCTTGCTTGTTTGCTTCCTTGAATTGTGACTGTAATGTGTGTGTGTGAGATTTTATCTTACTTGCTTGATTGCTTATTTGCCTTGATTGTTTGATTCATACAGATCAAGAGTTTTTGTAACCGTGGGTCATATTACCTTGGCAGATTGTGTTTAATTTTGTTGAGTGCATTAAAAATATTAGGGAAGGGAATGACATCTCAATTCTTTATACTTCAATTTCTACTCAAGCTGATACTGAATGTTTTTGCCCATGAATTTTAAAGAAGTATTTGTAATATTTATTGAAATAGAAATTGCTTACAATTTTGTTTTATTTGACTTGAAATTAAAATCTAATTTTGATGTGCTGAATTCAAATTTGCGAACAATTTGCTTTTCATGTAAAGTTTATTTTAAAATGTCGATTAAAATTTCCAAATTAATAGACATTTTTCAATTTATCCTGTGCTTTCAAAATGTCTATTAAGGGTAGAATCTCTGTTTCAAGTAAATCAAAAAATAAATGTATTTTTTACAGCCTAAGAGTGCTCATGAGCAGCATACTAGCTTTGTATGGTTTGATTTCAGGTTTGATTTGAAGTTGGGACAAAAATTGAGTTATAGCTTTCTTTCAAAATTATCTCAGTTGCTGTAACTGTGGTACAAAGAAAAGTTCAAAATGGTGGAGTTTGCTAGCTAAGGGAATACATCACATTCACTACATGTCTTTCTTACTCCCCAAGCATGGGAATTAACTAGGCCAAGGGATAGGGATCGCCATTAGCTGGCCAGCAAAGGCTTGATTTGTACATTGCAAATTATAAATGAGGCACCTAGGAATGGATTAATTGTAACCATTAGTGTGCATGGGGGAGGGTTATGGTGTCATGGCCCCCTGAACCTTTTCAAGGGACCCCATAACCATACAATTAGGGATTTTTTAAGTTATTTAATTGAGAAACAATTGAAGCCATTAGCATCCATTATTGTTTTATATATAATAATCTTTTAAAAATTAAAATAAACAATAATTAATTGCAATAATTTTTCACAATAATATAAATTAATTTGTCAAACTTGGTTATTAGGGAATACATTTCAAAATATTATATTTATTTAGTATTAACTTGTCATATGTAAATATAAAAATATGAAATCGACAAGGAAGCCCAGAAATGTAGTAGGCTCCCCTTGTTGCATACATCTGTGATTGTATTCTTGGGAGGGACACATTAAGACTCTTCCAGCAGGAGACTGCAAACTCTCCAGGGCTGAGGTTGCCAGCATCCTCCTCTGTCAGTTTGCACACTTGTCTATTAAGCGTTGACTTGATTCAATACCAGCAAGTAACTCTTGTATTCACCAGCTTCACGAAGGTTTAAAGCTTGATTTACACAATATAATTTTCATTTAATTTCACTTGAACAAATACATTATTCGATTTTTCTTTGAAATTTCCAGCTTACTTAATTTTTCTCAACAAAATCCATACAGTGTAATTACCCTGCAACAACTGGATATTTTATGCCACCATGATGTTACAAAATGAAAATTTCAGAAAATCTAAGATCAATAGTCGATGAAATAAATATAAAAATATAATATACGCATTTTAAGCCTTTCATTTTACAATGTAGTAATAATAAAATAGATCTGAGTAACATGTATGTAAAAGTGAAATCTTTTCATTGTAATTCAGGGCACTTTCACAAGAATTTCAAATAGATATGTGAAATAGAAATATACATTACACAGATGTCTTTTATGATTATTTTTTGTGTAGATCAATTCTAAGCTTGTGAAAGTTGATATTAAATTTGAATGGTCAAACCAGTTGACCAGTTTGAATAAGTGACCAAAAATCTCTTATTGCGGGGCCCTGGAATGAAAAAGTGAATAAATCGTTTTCCATTGTGTAATAAACCACTTAGTCAAACACTTTGTGTTGACAGAATCCATGTTTTGTGGATCGTTGATACAGAAAAATCAATTGACTGCAAAATGTCTATCTGTTTGTCTGTCTGTGGTCAACACTAGCACATAAACCATTCTGCCGATTTTCTCCAAAACTGATAATGTGCTATGATTTGAAGGAACTTGAGGCTCAGTGAATTTGAAACAGATGTTTTGATTTTGGGGGTATATTTTATATGAAACCTCAACAACATTTTCAAATTTTTTTTTATTTAACTTTATCCTCGAAAAACATAAAGATGCTTTAAACAATTCTTGTGAGCCCGTGTAATTTTTATGTACTCTATAGTAGAGTTGAAATATTATTTTAACTTCACAAAGAAGGAACATTAATTTAAAAAATTGTACACACAATTTTATGTGGATTTTACATTAATGTTGTTTCGTTTTCAGTTGTTTCAAAGTGATTCAATGGTGAAGTTTCATTTTTAACTGCTCACTGGGATGTGTCTTTTTACATTTACTATTACCAAAACACCTTTCTTCTCATGACCACAAACAAAATTTTGTCACAGAGTGTTGTCTTCCTGATATTGTGTATGTTCTCTCTGTAGTACAAGAAAATCTACTAGTATAAATATTTTCAAATGGTAAACCACAAACCAATTTATTTTAAATTTAGTTATAATGTTCTGAGGAAGAAAATACTCTTGATGAAACATATTAATTAAATGAAAAGCTCAGAGGTAGGTGAGAGATAATAACCTTCTGAATTATAGTTTTTGTGATATATTCAAATTATGAAATGAATGACTTCTGGCATCTGTCCCAGTCAATGCAGTGTGACACTGAAACATTTCAGTTAGTGGTTTGTATTTGCCCCCGGTTGTCATCATTTTCATTTAACCCACTTCACCAAAAAGTTCACTTGCTTACATCTTAAAAGCATTTCGGTGTGGTTTATCATAGTTTACACTTCAACCCTTCAAATATCAATAGTTCTACTGAAAATTTCTATTGCTGTGAAATCATCCAGATCTGATTGTATTGAATCCATTTATTTATTTATTTAGTCAAAAAACAGTTAAAACTGTATGTAACGTGTGGGGGAGAAGATAATCTGCGCACATTTTCTTGAGTCTTATGGGACTTCATAATGAATCTTGTGAATCTCAATGAAACTTCTTAATGGATCTTCCTAGTGAATCTTAATAGAACTTCAAAAAAAATGTGTGTGCATGTTGTTAGCTGTGACATGTGATTAGGCATCGCATGAAAAAGTTTTCATTGTATTGGATAGAATCCAAAATCTTCCAAACTTTAATTGTCTATTGTCACCCAAGATTTTATTCAGAGTATGGCCAATAATAATTTCATGTTCTTCCTGAAGTAATTTATTGAGTTAATCATTATATCATTATCAATTATAATGTTTTTATCAATACCACAGTTATTGCAACTATAAACATTGTCATTATATAATATTTAAATGGTTTGTATCATTAATATTTACTATCTTGTTAAGAATATTGTGAATATCTATGATTTATCTTAACTAGATATATTGTATAGAAAAACTTCGTAGATCATTTCATACTACATCCTCACAATGTTTATTTTATTTACTTACCTTATTTTTCTACAGGCAGTTACCCTTCGTGCATATAATCATAATCATACATAATATATATGATTTTTTATGTATAGATAATTATTATTGTTCGTGTATGGGCCACTACTGACCACGCAACACATTTCACTGCAATATATATATTGCAGTGTGGTGATGACAAATCTCACCCTAAGGTTATGAAGATGAGAATATATGGTGAAGGGATGTCTTCTTGCTAACCTCACAAACCCCATATCCTATGCCTGAGAGGCTGAGTCACTGCTGGTCGGCCGAGGCCCATAGCGGGCTGTTGAGTCATAGGACAGGACAAGTATGTAGATTAGTGAATAACAAACTACAGGTGTATACTCTCTACTTAATCTTCTGAGCCAATGAGGAAATAGAAATTGGTAAAAATTATAACTGAAGGGTGAGAATATTGTGTTCACATTCGTGTGTGGTTGCTTATGTTTACACAACAATGGATGTACGCTCATACGTATAAAGACACAAACATGTGCATGTCTGTGTATATGTATGTCTGAATATGTGTTGACAAATGCTCATGCAGTTATTAATATTACCAGTTTGTTTTTTGAGTAGCAATGGGAGAATCATATTTTATAGAGTAATAAGAAGGGCTGACACCAAACAGGAATTGATGGAAAATTCATTCATCAAGAAGCTCAAAACTTTACTGACTGAACATCCAATAAGTATGAGTTCTCTTTTCTTTATTTTGGAATAATTTTTCTAGATAATTGGCTGTCTTAGATATTTTCCCTCATTTATATAATTCTATTCAATAAAACTACTATACTTTTTATAGGAACAAAAATGATCTGCGTATCTGTCTCACGTTGGTTCTCATTCATACGATATATGCATATTGATAAGTGATTTGTTGTGTGACAGTGAGTGCTTTTCTTTGCAGCCTTTTTGTATTTTCTGTGTGTCTCGACTCCTCTTCCCTCGTATCCCTCCTCAATCCCCTTTTCCTGATTACACTCTCGTCTTTCACCCATTCTGCTTGATTTTCTCCCTCTTTTTTTTTTCCTGGCTCACATACCTTTTTATTATCTCTTGTTACCTTTCTCCTCAAATTGTCTCTTGTTAATGCTCCCAATTCTTTACGCTCTCAAGTTGACAATGGCACCATCCTTTCCTTCATAGGTGTTTTTTTCCTCTCTATCTACCTCTCTCCCTTTTTTTCACCCTAAAAGATATATTTTGCTTGAGTTTCCATCTGATATAAAATTTAAAACATTAGTGTTGGCAGTCTTGTTTTTTTATATCCTGTAAATGTGTGTTAAAGTATTTGCAACAAATTGTAAAAAGGAATGAACTTTTTCTTTATAAATCATTGAATATCACTTTAGGGTTATGTATGTTAAAATTTTTCATAAGTTCACTTCTTTTGGGTACTGTGAAAAACTTAATATAGAAGGACATTGTAAGGAAATTGCATAAATAATATAGAAAAGTTGTCCATCAAAAAGTATTAAAAATCATTTGAACAACCAAGGTTATCGTTGAACATGTGTTTAGAGCAGATGAAAATTACTGAAAGTTTATTGAAGGTGATTCGTATTTGGAGCATGTATTTGAAGAATTGCAATGCATTAGTTGATTCTCAAATAAAACATTTGCAGGAAAGTAGAAGAGCATAAAGAAAAAAGAAAGTAAATGTAGTAGCTTCAGTTCAGAAGAAATTTTAAAGCTGACTGAAGGCAATCAGACGTTCTAATGTTGTGACCATCGTAATTAATGATAAAGTCCAAAAGAAGAATAAATAAAATTGTCAGTGTGACAGATCAGCGTTAATAACTGCAATTAACTTTATTCAGCATAGTTTTTTAATCTATTTTTTGTGTCATTCGATAATCACCAAATTTGAATTTGAGTTTTTAAAATTTGTCTTCAAAGATATCATGGTGAATTCCACAATACAGGGAAAGAACAATAACAGGAAGGAACATATGCACGCTTGCTGTTTTCTGTAATATAATGGCAACTGCTGTTTATCTTCAGTGATCAAAGAAAACTTTATTCAAAGGTTTTAAAATATCAATATTAAATACATTAAAAGGATTGCACAATTTCTTTATTTCCAGTGTAATTGTAGTTAAAGTAGAAGTTGTAAAGATATTATATTGTGTAATTCTAAGGGGAACTTCAAACTGCAACCAAGCCAAAAGATTAGACCATTAAAAAATTCGCATTGAAATAATGATAATGATAATTTGCTGTAAAACCTATGGTGCCATCTACATTGAAATGAAGTTTTGTCAAAGTACCAAGATCCATGTGCTTATTCATTGCTATTATTTTTCCAAAGCCACTACTCCCTTGTTCTCCATTTACCTATTTGAATGTTTCTGTGTTTGTCTTACAACATAATTTCCATCTTTATGCAATCCAGATTTTTTTTTCCTTTTTTAATATTCTACCGGCTTGTCTTCTTGTCTTCATACCTTTCCAGTGTATATATATTTTGTATTCATTGTTGTATGTTCATTTTTCTCTGTCTGGATAACTGTCTCCTGGACTATGATATTCTCCTGCATAAAAGTTTATCTAATAATCTCATTGCATGTACATCACAATTTGTGCATTTTTATGTTAGCATATTTGTCTTTTTTCTCTTTGTGGTTTTATGAATATGTGTGGGAATGTATGTGCCCTAAGTTTTGACTCCTTTGTGAATGCTGTGTGAGAAAATTAAAACTTTGCCAATTTTGAGAGGGGGTAGAATTGTTCAAAACAAGGCAAAGTTGAATAAACATCAGATCTTTTTTTTATTCTTGCAAGATATCATCAAACATTTGCTGAACCTCTTCACACTAGGTGTTTAGTGTCCAACCAGTCTTTTTATTTGCTGTGTTCTTGGTGTTATACCTCTTATTCTGTATTTTATGGTCTCAAGGGAGTAGTCTTTTATGAACAGTTATTTTACCTATACCTTATTTACCAAATTCCACCTAATGGATAAAGAATGATTATTGTAGGATGCATATCATGTACTGTCTTTTTCAACAGTAATTGTAGTAAATGTGATTGAGAATTTAGACTTTCTAAACATGGATACAATATTGTCAATCTAAATAATGTGACACCTAATACAATCAGTGACTTCAGTTGTTCAGTAGTTTTACAAATTGTGTTGTAATAAATGAAAGAATATGAAAAAAGATATGTTAAAGTGATATGAAATAATGTTCTATACTTTAAGAATTGTTTACCAATGACTCACATTTAGTAAAGGTAACCCATATTTGTTGAAGTTTTTTTGTGTTTTGATTAAAACTACCACCTCTCAAAAAGTGCTGGATGCTCTTCTAACACAATGTGAATCAGTATATTTGTCTAAGAAAACGTAAATGGAATGATACATCTGCACTGATTATCCTAATATCTAATGCACATCATAAATATACATAATGTTTGGTAGATGTTCTAATGTCGCCATGAGCTAAACCAGCAGCTTAATTGAATTTTTAATTGTTTCATTGAAACAATTTCCAAAGGCTGTGATAGTTGTTCTATTCGTAGTGACTTAAGGTACCTTTACATGTCATGAGCATTGCTTACAGGTGTAGCTATTTTTGATGTTAATAAATTAATAAGTAAACAAACAGACAATAAATGAGTTAGTTTAATTATTTGTAGATTATCATTCCATTAATCAAATGAGTATTGTGTGTGTTTAAAGAGAAATGGGTTTGTATTATCTGTTATATTTTATTATCCTCTTTGTTTCTGTAATCAACTTGTGTTCATTTAAGGAACATTTTAAATGATTTAGATTATTATTATTATCATTATTATTATCATTATTATTATTATTATTTTTCTTTCTTTTTTTCTTTTTCTCCGAAACCTCTTCTTGGGGTCTCTTAGGTGACTTCATCATCAACAGTACTCCATGCGAAATCTTTATATTGTCCAGTTTTCTCACTAAATCCACCTCCTGCTTCTAAAGAAGAATGGACTTCAAGGAAAAAGGCTCAAAGAATGGCTCTTCAGAACCAATTTCTGTGTCACGGATATAGATCGTTTCCTGCATGTGAATCTGAACTACCATCATGCACTTCAAGTTCAAGCAATGATGTAAATGATAAACAATCAAACTTAGCTAGCAGTTTACTGAACTCTAATAGTCCTTATTCAACTGATTCCACAACTCTGAATTATTTTGTTGATCATCCATATCCTTCTGATAAGGAAAAGTCATCTCACAAAATGGAAAGAAATTATTTGTCAAAGGTAAATCCTATTGCCAGATCATGGAATGACTTTCCTTCTGTTAATGTAAATAGATTTCAAAGTTCAACCAGTTTTACTCGTGAATCAAAACATTTTAAGCAGAGAATGCTCCCTAGTCCTCATAATATTGCATTAACACATTTAGGCAGTATGTTCCAAAAACCTCTATTAAAACGTGCACACAGTGCCATTTTGGAAATAGACAAGGAGTGTGATAATATTTCAAGATCTTCTGATGCTCATTCATCCATGTTTTATGATGCAAAAAGTGAATCTTCGCTCCTAGAAGAATCCAGAGTAGGTGAAGATTATAATAGGGATGCACTTCCAAATAATAATAATAATAACACAAGTAATTTAAGTAATCAGTTTGTTCTGAGAAACAGATTACTGCGGCATAGTTCAAATGTTTCAATTCCAAGTACTTTAAAGTTGCTTGACAAAAGATCAGGAGATTTTCACACAACATGTAACACTTTGTCTATGCCTGCCCTAAATAGTGATGAGAGTATTTCAAAAATAAAACCTAAAAATTTAAGAACATTGCCTAGGAAAATTGGAGAAAAGTCTGATGCTTCTTATTATAAAACCTTCTCTCACTGGCCCATTGACAGGGCTGTGAACCAGCAAGACATTCATGTTAAAGAGCAACTAAAGTGGACTCAGAGTTCTCATGGAGATGAGAATACTTTTTTTAACAGAAAGCATCATCAGACTCGGAGAAAATTACCTATTCCTCCATCAGGACAAAATCCTATACGACTCAAAGAAACATCAAATAATTCTTTACTTACTGTTCCGATTACTGGCATTCACAAACAAATATCTTATGATGATATATTCAATTTGGAGTACAAAAATAGGACTAATGGTGATGGTGAGAAAAATATTGGACCTTTTCTTACCATTAAACAAAAAGAATGTAATTCAGAGCGTGAACATTTGAAACATACAAAGAGCATGTCAAATTTGTATCCAAGTTGTGCTAGAAGTCCCTCAGAAACAAAAAATTTCCTCAGGAGTTCAAGTTTCAGAAACTGTGTCCGTCTGGGTCCTTTACATGTACCAGAAATGTCTACTAAAGTTGATGATCGTGTTTACCACACTGTACATGCAGGAATGCAGGTTCCAAAAGACCTTGAGTGGGACATAAAGAAGTTTGATAGTCAAAATGAAGATGATTTACTTTCTAATAATTCAGATGAATTAGAGTTTGAAGATGCTTTGTATTTTGAAGACACTTGTGATGCTGATAGTAGTGATCATTTTAGCGATACATTTTTCTCTCATGTTATTATTGCACCTAATGATAATGCATATCAGATGGGAAGTGAAGAAAGAGATGTCGAAATTTCTGCATTATTGAATGAAGGAGCACAAACTGGTGAGGGTAGTTTGAAGAGAGAAATGAATTTTGATCTGCATAGAAAATTGCACCAGTGTACTTCAGAGTTGTATCATGGTACTCCCAGTGATTTATTATCTGAGCATACAGTGAAACAGAGAGAAACATTGCCATACCAAACTGGTTGGGCGAATACACGTGAGAGACTGTTGCATTCTGCCAACAGTTTTACACAAGAAGAAATGCAACAAGAAAGGGTAAGAATTTTGAAGCCAATTTTTCATCTCAAAAATGGGTTCTTTACAATAAACTAAAGCATGGTGTTATACAAATGGTTATGGTGTATGTAAATAGAACTGTACAGTTTATAATTTGAAAGAAGGGTTATGGTGCCTCATGGAATGCTTTTCCTGGTGTTTTTGCTTGATGGGTTCTAAATTTATTTCTGTTCTTTGCCTAAGTTCTTATACCATGTTCTTATACCATAAATGTCTTGTATCTTTGTTTTAGTAGTGTTCGGTCTTTTTTACTTACATGGCTGTAAATGCTTTGTGAAGTGCTTATTTTCTCTGTTTCATTGCAACAATTTCTTAACCTTTGGAATTTGGTTTTGAAGATTTTTATCTCCATGCTTTCTCTATGATTAATTTAGAATAAAGTATGGTTGAATCCTTTAACCTTGTAAAAATATGCACGTTATAACAATAAAACCAAAATATTCGTCTGCAATGTAAGCTTGCTGGACTCATAATATGCACTAATAGAATTCAGGTTGCATATTCAATGATTATTCCTGATTGAAAGTGTGTTTCAAGAAAAGTTCCTTATTAAAGAGATATAGAGAAAATGGGGTTAGGGGGAGGTTGCAAGAAAATGAATCTTTTAAAGAAAACCTTATTATAATTAAAATGATATTATATTTGACATGTATTACAAAAGATAGAAAGCAATATTAGGTGTTGGACGTAATAGTCGGGAATAATATTTTTTAATTTGATGTGGATTCTCACTAAACAGACAAGGGGGGTTAATTTCTAGAACCTTACAAGACAAATATGTTACATTTATTAAAAATATTTCTTCAAAATGTTTTCACATACATTATTTGCAATAAACATTATATAAATTAATTTTGTATTATTTTGTATTTACATGATTAATTGTGTATTCTTTGAATATGCTGAGAGCATATCGAACTCTCTAACTTTTATATTTTTTTGCATTCGGGAATTTTGATCCTTATCTGTAGGAATTCTGAATTATGCTGCTTTATCTACATACTACTTTTCAAAAAATTTGCAGTACCAACACCTAAGTAGTGAAATACTATGTTTCCATATCTGTAGTGATTTGCTTTTGTTCTTGTCTCATTTTTATAGTTCCTACATTTAAAAAAATCAATGTTAATAAAACAAAACTCAAATTCTAAATTCATTTACTATAACATTAGGAAATTAGTCAAAGATAAATTAATTGTTTTATTATTATTATTTATTTATTTTTATTTTATTTATTTTTATTTTATTTATTTTTTCAAACAAATGGTCAGTTCAGATTTTTTGAAACAGTATTTAACCCTGCTTATCAGAAAATATAATTGCAAAATATTGCTAACTTCTTGGACAGGGACTGTTTAGGTATGCCCTCCATTAAATTAAAGGGAACAACAACTGACTCGAAATCATCAATCTAATACTGATAGTGGTGTAGAATTCAAAACTGCAAATGAGCATATGGGCATCTGTGGTGTGGTTGGCATTGTCAGGCAATAATATCTTGCCATTATTTCGTAGCATAGTTCTTCTGTGTGTGTTTGTGTGTGTGTGTGTCCTTAACTTGTAAAGAATGATTTCTCATGGCACATTTTGCTGAATTGATCTGTCTTGGAGCAAAATAAATAAGTTTTGGTCTTCAAATTTGGAACACTGTATAGTGGTTTAATCCCTACAAGTTCTATTTATAATATTTTTAAATTTTGAACTTTGGTATATGGTGATTATTAATTTATTATAATTGCCGTTTTAGGGTAGTTATTTTTGTGATACATATTGTTTTTGCATTTCTTCAGCACTTAAGAGGACATTCCGGTACCTGCAAAACACTAATGTGTGTGAGGGGGGGACCTCAGTATAGATTACAATATGATCAGAGGAAAATTGTGTATATTTAGGAACTAGCCTCTCTCCCGCTCCCCTGCATGCCACTGATAATATACAAAAAGAATATTAAAATTGTTTGCCTTAATTTCATTTCATTCTTCCAAGTGTATTAATTTGCACTAGAACTAGAAGTATTAGAACTTAGATTGCTGATAGAACGAAGATACCCCCCCCCCACACACACACACACTCACACTCTCACTCTCACTCTCTCACACTCTCTCACTCTATCACTATCACTCTCTCACTCTCTCACACTCTCTCACTCTATCACTATCACTCTCACTCTCTCACACTCTCTCACTCTATCACTATCACTCTCTCACACTCTCACTCTCTCTTTCTCTCTCTCTTTCTCTCTCTCTTTCTCTCTCTCTTTCTCTCTCTTTTCCTCTCTCTTTTCCTCTCTCTTTTCCTCTCTCTTTCTGTCTCCTTTTCTCTCTCTCTCTCTCTCTCTCTCTCTCTCTCTCTCTCTCTCTCTCTCTCTCCTTTTTTTTTTATTTTGTGGTAAGAAGTTCATGTATTTTGGCTTTATTTTAGTAGGTACTTTTTTTTTTTACAAAATTTGGAAATATTGTTTCATTTTGTTGCTGCCAAAAAAAAGCAAAAGCAAAATATGCGAAGAAAAATAAAATAATTAGCCATTTATTATCCACCATGAACAATATAAAATTTCCTCTTAAACACACACATACTAAACTCATTGGCTACTATTCTGGGTTATTCAGAGAAATAATGAATAAACTTGCATTGAAACTATGAATTCACTCATTTGCAATTTGTAAATCTGCACAGGGATCTGTGAGTGCATGGTGAAAGCATATGCATGTTGAGCTTGATTCTTCCAAGCATGATTGACAAATTAACCAATGAATCCTGTTTTATTTTATTTTAATTTGATTTATTTATTTATTAATGAACATGTACTGTGAACCATTTTGTTATGAAATTTCATTGTTTGTTGTTACATATATTTTATTTCAAGTTGCTAAAAGTTTATATTGGAGTCTCCCCTTCCCTTTCCTCTAATACTTGTTTGTGTCTCTTCTTTTCCAATATTCCTTGAGATTGACTCATAGTCCACTTTTTTTTTGGTCCTTGTTATTATTTAATTTTCCTCCCTTGTTTTCATGATCTTCAATAGAAATTTTGATTCTCTCAATATTTTTGAATTACATGTATTGTTAAATTACATGATAACTGAGTTGCGATCAGCACTGGTGAAATGTTAATTGTAACCTTTATGTTCGCTAGTGGGATGGCCATAGAATCTCGAGTATAGTTCAAGTATTTTAATGATAAATTTATGATGAATTAGTTTTCAGTAATGGTCTATTTGACTTGTGAGGGTGCCATCACCATCTACATAAATCTGATTATTTGTTTTGAAGCTTTGACACTTTTGAGAATTGCATATTTGTGTAGATTTGAATAAAACTACAGGTATGTAGCTTATTAGAAAAACCAAGAGCAAAGCAAAATTTGTAAATATGAGTATAATTTGAAATACTGGCGTCAACTTTCAAATGGGGAAATCATTTTTGTAGTGTGTGTTGATATTTTCACACTTTTTTCCCAGTCACCGGCATTGACTGGGTGACACTTAGTGACACTTAATTCATGTACTCATCTACTCATTTAATGTTGTACATGTATACATACAGACACACCCAAACACACCACATACTATACACCAGTAAGGTAATATACACACATAGCACAAAATAATAGTACTAGTAGTTAAAATTACATTCAGATGCTGTGGAAGGTTGGTTGGGTTTTAGGGGTCACCATAAATTGACTGAGGCCAGTTTGTAAAGACATGATGCATGTTTTTGCATGATGTTTCTTGTAAATCCATGAAAAATAGTATTAATCAAGTTTCTTTTAGTTGTAACATGTATATCACTAATTCTGTAGAGTGAATATTCTCATTTATCAAGTAACTCAAAATCTTTGGTGTCTTAATGCATATAAAGCAAATACTAAAATGGTTTACTCATCACTGGCCCAAATTTAGTTGCATTTGAAATAGTTTGTCAAACATAATTCAAACTTACCTTTTCATTTCTTTGAATACCTTTCCTTTGTCAGTCCATTAAATGTTTCCATGCGTTTAAATTGTTAACATTTAAACATTTTAAACTTGTGAGGCTTTTAAAGAATCAACTTTGAATTGAGTTTAAAAACATTGGTTTCTTGGTGTGATAAAGATTTTAATTATCGGTTTTCTATGGTTTCAATATTGAGGAGATTCTTAATCACATATTGGTAAGAAGTATGAAGTAGGTTTGTTTTTTAAACCCTCAAATGGTAAAGTCTGGGTCAGATGCAACTCAAGGCAACTTTTGTTTTTGAAATTCTATCTTCCTTTTACTCACAAGATCATGTAATTTTAGCAGTCCTATATTTCATTTAGTCTACTTGTCCTTGCAACTATAACACGCTGGTATATGTTATGACCTAATGGTAAAGATTTTTGTGGGAATGTGCATCTGATTGGGTTGGATGTGATCCACCTTATTGTTAACATCACAATAGTTTTGTTGCTCTTAATTATTTTGATCTTGTTTCACCTTTACAAGTGGGTATGGATTACAAAATATGCCCCTCATGCCAAAAGGAGCAGCATGGGTGAGAGTTCTGTTTGCACACTAGGATACTTGAATATCTATGATAATGAACTATGCAATCAATTGTTGTACATTCTTTGTACATTATAGTCCTGATGATAGCTGGCTATTGTCGGGCATGTGATTTGACACTGGAAGAGTATTCAGCGGTCCCCAAATGTTTCTTATACTTAAGGAAATTCTTGAAGTACTCTTTATATTTTAGTGTGATTTAAAAATGAAAATATAGGAATACTTGTGAAAAATGTGTATTGACATCCAAATATCTAAAATAGGTTTTCTGTGGAAGCAGTAAAAAAAACAAACTTTTTTACAAAATGTGAGGAGGAGGTGGTGAGGATCTGAAAATTGGAAAATCTTAGTTTTTCTTGGTCCCAATGCTTTTATCTATTCTTTATTGTTTTATAAACAAATAAATTGTTTGCAAAATAATTTCAGTCACGTTAGATGCTTGAGAATGAATAAAAACCTGTTCCGGTAGCGTCTGACCCCATATTAACATACGCATCCTGAAATTGCACCTTACCATTAGAGGTTAAATTCAAAATAGTTCATTAATAAAATGTAAGGCTTGTATGTTTGTTTGTTTTTTATCACAACATAAAATTATTAACATTAAGTGGAATTGTGATAAGTCACATAAATGTTTGTGTTAAATATTGCTTTCAAGTTATATATTTCTCGAAAAGAATGTTCATCAACTCATTTATTCAAAGTTACTGAGAATTATTTATTAAAATAAACACTCATGTGTATGACAGATATAGTTTCTTATTTTACCACTCATGCTTTCAAGAATTTATGTCCAATCCTCTCTAATTATTTCATTTACTTTTTTTTTCTGCTTTTGAAGCATTCACAGGACGCAGACCACTCGAAGGACACTTATTATCACCGTCTTGGATTAAATGAAAAAATGAGGATTCTACTTGCCAGGTAAATTGTGTCTGTTTTTTAACAATGAAAAGAGTTGTGTTAACAGATATACTGGCTAACATGTTGTGAAATTTTGACATTAAGTATCTTATAAAATTATTTTCTTTCACTCCTCCTAGATGTTTGTTGTTGATTACTTTTCAGATCCATTTAATATTTTGTTCATACAAATGTTTTGCACATCTGCTTTCAGTTTATAAAATGCTTTCATATTTGAGCCTGTATATGCAATATTGTAGTTATGACCTTTGATAAACTTTTCTCTACTGCACTTGATTAAGATTTTTAATTTCTTCCTATTGGAAGTATTTAAAAAAGAAGAAAAAAGTATGCTTTCCCTTGACATCCCTTCACACAAGAAATAATATGATTCAAGTACTTGATTTCTTTAGTAGCCCAATTGCAACCTAACCTGTTATTGCAATGGCTGGCACTAACAATGCAAATTATTGTGGCCACCACTTCTTCTAACTTAACAGTATTTTTTTTTCTCTCTTTCTCTGTTCCAAGAACATTAGTATGTGTAGATGGAATGTTTATTCTCCAAGCCTGAAAATTCATACCAAAATTATATGCACAAATTAAAAAATCGACATTAAGTACAACAATAATACATAAATGTTTTAGTAATCCCAGTATTATACAGTTTATTCAAAGAGAAAACAACAAAACTCCAAATATAATTGCTTTAGACAACTTTAAGAATACATACATAGTGTTAATTCCTGTGGTTGACTGCAGTAAGAAGCAGAAGATAGCTATAAAAACATGTGAATATGAAAAACCTGAAATGCATTTTAGAACTGTCATTTTGTATTTGTTGCAATATAAATAAGTAAATACATTTATTTACAAAGAAAAAATACCACAGAAGTAAACAAGAAATTGGAATGTGTTAATTGGGTTATTCACAATCATTTGGAAACAAAAAATTGTCTCCCATGATATGTTGTTGGTGTTGCTGGTATTGTACAGGAAGAGTAACCATGTAATCAGGTGTAAAATCTAGGTACAGTAGTACCTACAACATTATCCTACATACCATTTCGATTTTAGATATTTCTTTTCCATCCAAAGTACTGTGCCATTAAAAAAAAGTATGGGAGTTTGAAATATATTTGTATGGTCTATGGTCGATGATGATTGAAATTGTAACAGACTATCCATATTTAGTAATTAATTATTAAATTATAATGTGTGCATGCAACTAGCAACACACTTCACCATTGAGTATTTTGTATTGTGGAAATGATGCATTCTGGGACCTTAAAAGCAGATTTTCATGTTTCTTAAGGACGACTTATGAACCCCAAATCTTCAAAATGAGATCTTTTTGGAAGTTTTATTAAATTTTTGGAAGCACCCCATAGCATGGAGTGCCAGAAACATTGGAAGTTGGGTTTTCATATTTCCAGTTTTAAAACAATGATTTTAAAAGTGCAATTTTTGTTTAATATTGCAATTTTGGTGGGGAGAACCTTTTGTTATGATGGGCCTATAATGTCATTACCTATCACAGTGGATCTATTATGCTTTAATGTCTCTATAAGGGATCTTGGTTCCAAGTTGAAATATAGTGTGAAGAAGGTATTTTCATTTTAAAAACAGTTGTATACATAGTGCAAAATGTCAAGTTTGACTGTCTTGTGGTTCTAAATGTTGCCCGTTTCAAAACGTGTGAGGATGTAAACCTTCGTTGTGCAGAAATTATCAGACATAAGACTATTGCTTGCCAGGTTTTAATAATAATAATAATAATAATAATAATAATAATAATAATAATAATTATTATTATTATTATTATTATTATTATTATTATAATCATCATCATCATGGACAGGGAGAAAAACTGGTGCAAGTTTCATTTCTGATAAATGTGAAATGTTTGAAAATTGCAAAAATTTAACATTTCAAAACTACAAAATTGAAGATAGAGATTTTTATCCTGAACAAAATCCTTTCTAAAAAATCATATCTTTAAAAAAGGGTATGTACGTTTTTTTAATTAGTAGTTTTCCCATAATTTGTGCCTGATATTAATGCAATTTATAATGGAAAAAATGTTTCTCAAAACATGCTCTGATTTATTATTATTATTATTATTATTATTATTATTATTATTATTATTATTATGCTTTTCATGGATAAAACAAAGGAAGCTTCAAAGAATTGCATAGGCCTCATTTTTGTTGAACTCTGAATTTCCAAAAATTGCAGATTTAGAAATAGTGCAAGAAAGTATGTGCTCTTGTTTATTTCTTCAGCATCTCAGGGCCACTATCTGCTTGTCATTTAACAAGTGGGGCACCATAATGCAACAAAGTTTTCTAACCTTTAGATGGTAATAAGGAATTTTATGGCCCAATTCCAGTTCTATTTTGTTTTGTGTGTTGGAAGCATTTTCCTCACTAATGCAATGTTATCTTACTTTACTACTTAAATACTGTAGTATGATGAGGACAGTTATTCTCTTCTCCAGAAGTCCTTTATTCCAAACACTCATCTACCCTCTACCTGCAAACAAATTTTTAGCTTAAAATAGCTTGGAACTTTTTCTTGACCAACATCTCAGCTTACTAAATTGACAACAATCCAACTAAACTTAAGAGCTTATTGTTTCATGACCACCACCCCCTTTTTTTGTTAGTAAATTATTCTTTCATATCTACAAAACATTTATGAATTTTGAATATTACACCTTGAAAGGCATTTTTGTTTCAGTCATAGTGTGTGTGTCTCTACATTTCTTTAATAATTGTAAAGCATGGAATGCATCTCCGGTACATCTGTTCTGTAACCAAGTCAATTCTAAAGATTTTCTAGTTTTCTTTCCAGATGACAGATAATAATTGAAAGGCTGAGTGCAACGGTAAACTAACTCTCCAAAAATTAAAAATGAGTTATTGATGTTATTTGTTGTCAAAGAAAGTGAACTATCTTTGTACATTTTTAAGTAGACTGGTTCCCCCCATCAAGTTAGGAATGAAGTCACTTGTTTCCCCCTTCAGTAAATGTAACTCCTCAGCTAGGTAGCTTTAACTTGCTTTGTCGCTGCTCTTTAAAGAAGTGTCTTTGACTACTGTTGCACAGACACCTTTATTTGTGGTATGGAAGATGTTTTAAGTTATCATGCTTCAATCCCATCATTCTGCACATCTTTTTCATATATTTATTAGGGCAGTAGGTCAAGAATCATGGAAATTTAATTTTTGATTTTGTGTAATATATAATATGATTGAATGTTTACTCAATTGCTTATAGAGAATTGTAATGTTTAAATTAAGGTTTGAGTTACAGATTTTATTTACAATATTTTCAGTATCCTAATATTCCATTGAATAATTAAATTGTTTCAAATGTTTTATAATTTCAACTTATATGTAACATACATATTTACAGACACCAGTTTGAATTAGAATCACTTCAACTTCGACATCGTGCTGAACTAATAGCTTTGAGAAAGCAATTAGAACACTCAGAATCAGGTGGACAAATCCTGGATAGTCTCAACGACTGTAAGTTGTTGGTAATTGTTTGGCATTTTATGGAAAGAAGTATTTTATTGTAATAAAACTATATTTGTTTTTGTTTTTTGTTTATTTAGATTCGGTACCTGTTGGAATTCAAGGAGCTAGTCTGGATGATCAAGTACTTTTCAGTACTGCCCCACAGTCGCCTACTAATTCAGATAGTTTTGCTCAAGAAAATGGTCTACGTCATCATTTAGGAGTGGGTAACTCAATGAAAAATCATTTTAACTATTCCCATGTTGCTGGATCTGGGCAAGATTGGACACATGAGGAGACTTGTCAGCAAGTTGTAGGTAGTGAATCAACTGGGGCTCTTCCGAGGCACAATATCTGTGGCCAGATTTTAAATCAAAATACTGTAGGAACATCACATTCTGTTCCTGGAAACAATATTTCAGTTACTACTTCTGCCAATTTAAATGCTCCTTCAGAGGCTAATATGTTAACTCTCGCAAATTTGGATGCTTCAAATCGTCAGTCACAGTATCAGTGGCTTTCGCTTGAAAGTAACCAGGATAGTAATGTTCTTGGAATTCCGTCTGCTCAGTATTTTCATTATCCTAGTGTTGGTTTGGGAGGTCTCCCAGGATTTCGCAGAGTACCTTCTGTGTCAGGCAGTCTCCTTCAATTTGCACAAGGCACTTCCCCCCAGTTAGAGCCTCCAATAGTTCCAACTGGTTACTACTTTCAGCCTGCTGTAACACCTCTCCTTCAGGCAGGAATGAGATTTGTCTATGGCACTCATCAACAAGAGAATCAAGAGAATATTGGTCATTCATATTCACCTAGTGTACATCCAGGAAGCCCCACCAGCTCTGTTGGCCCAGCTAGCCCTGGTATAGAACCAGTGATTGTTCACGCCAATACTGAGTCTGTTGAGAACCAGGAGAAGAGTTTTACTGTTGTAGAGAATCCGTCACTTCGCCACTGAATATTATTCTTTTTGAAATGATTGTATATATTTATATTTCTTGTAAAAATAAAATGAAGTAATTTTGTATATTTTTTCTTTTTCTGCACCATGATAGAAAGCCTAAAAAAGTGCCAGTTTAGACAAAACTATTTGTAAAAGATGTGTCCAATGTATATAATGGTGATAAGTGTAACATTATACACTAAGTGAATATGTATGCAGAGTAAGCCAAAAAAAGTTAACTTTGAATTGTTTGGCATGACTATTTATTTTCTCTCCATGAATTGGTTTTCTATCATGAATGACAACATCAATGCTCTTTAATCTTGAAGTTCTCAAATAAAAAGTGGCAGATGTACAAAAGTGGTCATTTTGATACAAACAAATAAACAATTTTATGGTATTTGCAATCCATTAATATTGCAGGTAATGCAAGACACATTATTTGGAAGTTAGAAAGGAAAAATGTACTTACACAAGAATTTGAAATCTTCATTCAAAAGTATTGTCTCTGTGTTAAAGATTCTATCGATAATAACAACAACCAAAATGTACTGTTTTTTCAACTATATTGAGCAAACTTTGGAACATTTAGTATGGTTTAAGAGGAGCAACTTGTAATTTGGTTAGTTTAAAGAGCATTACATTTAAGTTTTCAAGATATTATAGTATTGTATTATTTCTGTAATCAATTTCAAAATGTTTTCAAAAGAAAATTATGAAACTTGTTCAATTCTATTACTGTTTTTGAATTCAGGTTTGTTAACCAAACAAGTTTAAAGTTTGCTAGTTTTTGGCATATCCTATGGGTTTGTATGTAAATTATTTTTGCAGGTCCAATATTGAATTTCAGAGTAATTGCTTTTGCACTTGCAGAGGTGCTAAATTTATTTACGTATGCATGCATCTAATTACTGTGTGATCTGTTGTATCATTAAATATGTCCCTGTGCCTACGTACATGTGCATGCCCTGGGTACGTATTTCCCAGTTGCCACTTGTCACTCGAGTCACCTATCTGACATTAAAATCTGTAATTTAAGTAAACTGTAAATGATAATATATTTTCTGTTATATTGTTTGTTTATTTTTATGTATATATATATAAATATATATTTTATAATTTATTATATTTATATATATATAAATAAAAACATAAACAGTCTTGTAAATGATAATTGTATTTGTAAGTTGTAGTTTTGTATTCCTTTCTCTATCGCATTCATTCATTTGTTGCTTTGTTGTCTTGACTTTGGGTTTATTTCCTCCTCACCTTGTGTATCTTCCATATTTGTTGACGATTAAATGTCCTCCCACAGTCGTCATCTCCTTTGCAGTTCTCTTGCTTTTCCAGTGTCTTCCTCACAAAATTAAATTCTTTCTCCCTCCCTCCTTAGATTTAGACAAAACAGATAAGCCATCAGTTTCCATATTTTGATTTGAATTATCCAGTGTTTAAAATATAAACATATATGCACATATAATGTTCCTAATACATATACCTATTGGATTGGGCAAAAGTGTAAGTTACTTTCAAATCTTGATCTAGATTTTATGCTCCACCATTGATGAAAGATGGCACTTAGCCTATTATTTTTATATATTTAGTGTTTTGCATTTTATTTAATCTTATATTCCTTCTATGAGCTCTTAAAACACTGTACATATTTATTCACATTAATTTATATCATGAGATTAAGGTGTTTATGTGAGGATGTTTACAGAAATGCTGTAAAAGTTTCTAGGGTTCTTTTCTTGAGTATTTCAAAAAGTGGTTTTTAAACAGTGTTCCTATCACAACAGTTCATGCCAAAAACTTCATTATTCAACTATTGGTGGAATGGAACTTTTTATATTTATTTTTATTTGTTTACATGCTCATGTGATTTGTATTATTTCTAATCATTGCTGTTAATTATTCAATTTGGATATTAGCATTGGTTTTGGAACAAGATGTGAAATTCCAGTCAGCAATGCCTTTAAAGGAAGGTTACTTCATCTCGAAATATGTAGTTACAATGAAAAGCGTGAAATGTTAGTGATTACTTTATTTATTACATTGTTACATAACATACATTTTTTTAGTTCTTTAATATTGTACTACTACCAGCTCCACAAGCAATACTGAAAATTCTATTCATGTCTCATAAATGTTCAGAATTTTTTGTGCATTGGTCATTTTTCTTTAGAATTGATTAGGAATCCTAACACCACTGAAGACCAGATTTTGTGGATATTGTCGTATTTAAAAATTAAAACTAAAATAATGTATGAAACATATTTTAATCTTATTATCCTGATTTTTTTACTCAGAAATACTTGTAATCACAGACCAGTATTTGATTCTGGCAAAACTGTCTTCGTGTTTTATCAGTACAGTGAAGAACACAAGTATTTTTCATTTTCAGAATAGAAATAATATCCTTTAAATTATAAAATGTGTTGTCAATACCTGTTGGTTTGCTCAATCCATTAAGTATGTGTATTTCATTTATTAGAGTGCTGAAGAGTTTTATATATTAGAGCAGATCTCTGTGATTATTTGGGTTTTACCCTTATCCCTATGATTTGTAACCAATGACTGAAATAAATCTTTTGATTATTTATTTTTTGATCTTGAAGTATAGTGCTTTGTTTCCCCAGTGTATACAGAACTGAAATAGTCTTTAATCAGTGTAAATTTAGTGTAATATATATTTTTGTGTTTGTATTCAATAGGCAGCCTAGATGTTTGGTTGCATACCAGACATTTTTCCTGAAAATTATCTACAAATTATGCAGCAATGAGAAGCTCTAGTCATTTTAACTTATGACTATGACAAAACCAACAGTTGTAGGCCTCAGATATCTAGGCTGCATGTCTCCAAGGGAGAAATCCCTATGTAAAATCTGTTGTATTATTGTTGGCTTGGCTAATCTCTCTTCAAAAATGTATTTGAAATATATCAACATTATTTTCTCTTTGTTTTCATAACATCCTTTCTAGTACTGTATAGTATAAATAATATGTATGTAATCAGTTGTAAGTTAAATGTGAATACTTTCTAGGTAAATGTTACAGTTCATGTTTCAGGCTGCATTATATTCAGAAGTTTCCTTTTTAATATTTTAATATACTTTGTTGTCTTCTTTCAGGAATAATAGCTCTAGTGGAGTATAGCTACTTTTCTCAAAATCTATTTTGATAGTCCAGTTTCTACATGTTGCCTGAAGTGGGAAATTATAAAAACTAACTAAACTATATATTGTATTTGGAATGAACAATTTTATTTCAAGTATACTCACCTTGGTGGAAATTATTCAAGCAAGCATATTGCTCTCTCACCCATTATATGCTGTAGATATGATTGAAAAGTTTTAAATCCAGTACATCACAATGGTAATTGTGACAATTTCTGAAGTATAAAAATGTCTACGGTTTTATATTATTTGTGGTTCAGGAAAGTCAAATCAAAAGAAAAGTAGTGAAATGAAAGTTCATTTTTCCACTTATCCTCTGTGGCTTATCATTGTTGTAACAAAGATATTTGTGTTCTATCACCATAGTGCTTCCCTAATTTTAATGTTATTGTCTCACTGGGAATGGCCAAGTTACTTCAGTCAAGAACGGTCGGTAATAATGAGCAAATGTCACATCATAACATATATAATCACTGACCTATGGCCATTGGTGCAGGAACCCATTTGATGTGTTTACATTAAATAATGTGTACATGTCATTTCCATAGATTTTTTTCCAGGATGTCATCCATCAAATACCGAAAGGAACTTATACTCTGACATCTAATGTGATTTTTTTCATTGTCTTACTTTTCCTATTGATGGATGTAAGTAAATGAATTATAACAAATACCTCATTTTATTTCTTATGAAATTATTTAAGTCTGCATTAGAGATTTGGAATGGATGAGGCAACAATTTGTGTTTTGCTTTGTCACGCTTCCAAGAAGACACGCTAACTCGAAGTAGCTAAGTCATGTCTTATATACAATATTCCACACAAAAATATACCATTCAGTCGGAATACCTCCAAAAGCAACTTTCATTTCTAGCAAATAGTATGTGTAGTTCGAAACTTGTTAATGACAATGTGGCCGTAATTATTGTTGATTCCTGCTTCCAGTACAATCAATGTTGGGTCATCGGATAGAGGTATAGAACAGATAAAAAAAATGTACTTTTCTATTCTTTAAAAGACATAGCTTATTTTTGGTGAAATTTTGAAAATGTTCTCCATGTAAAGTATCTCCAAAAATTAAAAGATCCGCTTCAAATTCAGTGGGCCATGACAACCCAGATCAGTTGGTGAAAGTTGTGAGGGGGGGAGGACAAAAAATATGAACATCATGAGATAATCCATTGTGAAGACAAGGCCTCACGCACAAAGAAATAAAAACCTCAGTATAAATACGCGTGATTGTATGTTGAACCATTGACAGGATGAGAACCAAATGTATAACCATGGATGATTATTATTATGAATGTGTTAATCGATGGTGTAACTATTAACAGAATTGGGTGAAATCAGGGATTGTGCAGAACTACGGAAATAAAACATTTCGTTATAAAGGGCTGTGGCAACTCAATATTTTCAGGGGACCACGACCGTGCATACACCCAATGCTTTCTTGCATACTATGTACGTGGTATAGAGAAAGTTGTTACGCCCGTAGCACAATCCGGTAATTTTTCGCTAGAAAGAATTCTTATTGTTGGTCTCTGAAATCGAAAGAGTGGTATGGAGGAGAATTCTTGCAGCTGGTTGCTCTGATCAGTACTTTTCCCAGGTTTATTCGAATAACACCAGGAGAAAGCCGGGGCAGTAGGACCCACATTTACACCATTGTAGGACTGTGCGTGATATTTCATCCCTCTTCCTTGTTATATTCCTTAATAATAATAATAATAATATTTATTGAGCCACATATACAATTACAATCGTGAATGATGAGTCAAATATAATATTTGATATAATCAATATATAAATATGATATAATAAATATAAAATTTGACTCATTAAAATTGTAATATATATTAAAATATTTTAACATTTCAAGATTTATAACGTTTCATTTTTCAAAATATCATTTTCTTGATATAGTGATTTTACTGCTACTACTACTTTTAATAATAAAAAATATAATAGATAACATAACTTATACAATAATAATAATAATAGTAATACTAACAGTACATGATAACAATTATGGTAACATCTACATATGATTTAACAGTATTAGCATATTCCTTGATTAAATCTTGAAATGGGGAAGAGGCAGGTTATGGCCAGATTTTTTTCCTATTTCTACACCTAGTCTTACTGCAGCACCTGAAATCATATTGCATGTGTTAGTCATTGAGGTATTCCTGAATGCTATAAAAAAGTTTTTCCCCTAGGAAGTTTTTTCTTGAAGTTGTACAAGCCTGTCGTGTTTCTCAGATGTATTGGTGATTTGTTGAAGAATTGTAAACCTGAAGAGAATGTACTCTTTTGGTATAATGTGCTTGAACACGTTGGTTGATGAAGGTTACATGCTTCCCTTGTGTTATAAGGGTGTAAGCTTGAGTTAAATTTGTATAGTGTGTCATTGTTTACTAGATTTTTCTTTACAAACATATGTTAAGTGTTTTGAATTGAGGTCTGCAGGACTCTGTTCTTTTTGTATTTGTTATTGTTCGATTGATTCTCTTTTGTATTTTGAATGTTTATTTAGCCTCTGGTGCTTGGCCCCATATTATCCCATATTTGAGAATAGAGTGCACGTTTGCAAAGTACACAGTTCATGTTGTCTCAATAGTGCTGTTTCTTCTTCTTCTTCTTCTTCTTCTTCTTATTATTATTATTATTATTATTATTATTATTATTATTATTATTATTATTCTAAGAGCATAATTAAGTTTGCTCAATTTTGAATTAATATCTTTGAGGTGCGAGTTCCATTTGAGGTGGGATTGCATGGTGATTCCATTGGTGAGTATTGTTGTGTTGAGTGAGAGTTGTGGAAGAGTATTGTGATTGTTTTGTCTCAGTTTACGATTAGTTTGTTATGGTGGATCTGTTGAAGTAGCTTGTCAATGGCTGAATTGGCTTTGTCTTGCAAAGCTTTGCTTGTTCTTTCTTTGAATATTATATTAGTGTCATCAGCAAAAAGTACGGTTTTGTTGTTTTCCATTATTAATGGCAGGTCATTTACAAATATAAGAAAGAAAATCGGGCCTAGTGAGGATCCTTGCGGGACCCCATATGTCACATCCCTTGGCTCAGAGTGATGGTTATTTATTTTGTTGTCTTTTTGGTACTATTTGTTTTCTGTCTGATAGGTATGATTTTATCCAATTGTAAGCAATTCCCCATATTCCATAAGATTCTAATTTTGACAATAGAACTGTGTGATCTATCATGTCGAAGGCTTTTGACAAGTCGAGAAAGAGACGAACAGGAATTTCTTTCTGCTTTAATGCCATGAGGATTTCATTTACAAAGGTGAATAGAGTAGTTTCAGTTGAACGATTTTCCCTGAATCCATGTTGTGAGTCAGTGATGTTACAGTGTATCAAGTAGTTTTTTTAATCTTTCATAGAGCAGTTTTTCTAATATTTTTGAAAAACCTGACAAGAGTGAGATTGGCCTGTAATTCATTACATCATGTTTGTTACCTTTTTTGGGTATAGTTTTAATTACAGCAGTTTTAAATATGTTTGGGAAGGAGCCATGAGTTGGTGATTAGTTGTATAAATATGTTAATGGTTTGATGATATATGGAGCAATCATTTTTATTAGGAAGTCTGGAATGTTGTCTATCCCAGCGGATTGTTTAATTTGCATTTTGTTTATAATTTGAAGTATTTCCTTTTCTCTAGTTTCTGTGATGTACATGCTAGAAAGAAAGGTTTTAAAGAAAGGTGATGGTTGTAGAGGTGTAGTGTTTGGATTTCTTGTTTTTAGTAGTTTACCAGCAATTTCAGAGAAGTGTTTGTTGAATATACTGGCTGTTTCATTAGGGTTTGTTATTCTTGTGTTCATGGACTAGTTCACTATTTTGTGTTTTGTTATTTGCTGGTAATGTTTTTTTTTAACAATATTCCACATAGCTTTTGTTTTATTTTTGGATTTTTTTTTATATAATCATCATTTGACCTTTGTTTGGCCTTTATTATAACTTTTTTGAGTATGGCTGAATATCACTTATAGTAGTTGACTATTTGATGATTGCATGAGTGTTCTTTTGTGAATTTATAAAGCTCTCTTTTTCTTTCACACGAAATTTTAATACCTTTTGTTATCCGTGCTTTGCTGTTTTGTGTGTTGATTGTTTTGTGAAACTGTAGTGGACGTAAGATGTTAAAATAGGATTTGATTGTATTAAAGAAAGTGTTGAACTTTAGGTTGATGGCAGATATTTCATATACCCCTGACCATGCAAGACTCATTAGTTAACAGTGAGATGAGATTGTTCAGGTGTGTGTGGGGGGGGGTGTTTTTGTTTGTTTTTTCTCTCCTGGTCTCCTTTATTAGGTTTGCTTTTGGTGAGGTGGAATTTATTTTAAGAGTGAGAATTTGAGCATTGTGATCACTGAGCCCCGTATCATAAGTGGTAATTGTGCATGTGTGTTTTGTTTTGTCTAAAAGGATCTGGTCTATTGCTGTTTGTGAGTTCTTTGACTGCCTGGTTGGTGTGTCAATTACTGCATCTAGATTATAGGAGCGTACTAAGTTTATTAGTTTGATTCCGTCTCTTTCATGAGTAATATTAGCTGTAGGTAGGAAGTTAATGTTTATATTGCCACAGATTATAATAAGAGTAATGAGCTCACTTTGTTAATTTATCCAAGATTAATTCTAAGTTTTTAAAGAATATTTGAAGATTTCCATCAGGTGCTCAATAAATGCTTAGAAGGAAGATGTTCAGCTTTGGAATTTCTACTATTGAACATTATATGTCTGAGTTGCATGTAATATGTTTGAATTCATTTACTTCTTTGGAATCACAGTTGTTGGCCAGATATATGCATGTGACTCCAGTTGTATGATTGATGATTGGCCGTACGACAGAAGTAACCAGCCAAGTAGAAACCTGGTATTTGTGTCATTTTTTATTTGATCCTCAGTAAGCCAGTGTTCAGTTATACAGATCGCATTAGTGTGTTCTATGTGAAATCTTAGCATGATTTCAATTTCGTGTGTGTGTGTGGTTTTTGTTTTGTTTTTTTCCACCGATGATCGAATCTTTTGCTGTAGGATCTTGAAGGTGCTGTGTTTTTCAGTGGTGATTGGTGTAGAAGGGATGGACAGGTTTTGGAATAGTACACAGGTTGTAGGATATGGATCGAGAGAGTTTTGGGAGATTGGAGGGTTTGCGGCTACGACAGCATAGGTGGGAGTGGGACTAGGGGCCGAGGCTGAATTAGGATGAGTAGAAAGGGCTAGTGTGAAGGGAGCAGGGGTTGGTGGAGGTGTAGAGAGTGCAAATGGTGCCTTACACACACTGCACTACAAGATGCGATAGAAAGCAGCAAATAGTTTGTCAATGAAACACTGATTGCCTTCACTACTCACTGGGACCCGTTGTACAGTTTCGGGCTAATATCATGGATTGGCTGTCCGGGTCAGAGTATATCAGCTCAGGGCGCAGCATTACGCCGTGAGGAAGGTGGCAGAATTACGAACGAAACGTCGGCACCTTCGCCATGGACGCGGCGACACACGGTTCCAAATGCCGAAAACGTGGCCAAAAATTTAAAAAAAGTTCCTAGCTAGGGATTTTTTCGTTCATAGTTGGTTACCCTTATTATAGTAGTTATAACACGTTGGTACAATGCGCCTTTCTATTGTATTCAGGTTTATAACGCAGCTCCAATGTGAGCCACGTGGCTCATTCTAGTTGGTCGACAGCCAGAGAAAAAAAGACTACCTTAATATATCCGAAAAAAGGGT